GAGAGAGAGAGAGAGAGAGAGAGAGAGAGAGAGAGAGACAAGGTACAGATACAGAGATACAGAGGCTTTATGTTTTACTGTATAAATGGTGTCATTTGGCAGCTCCGCATCTGGATCGAGTAAATTTGTATTAACCACAGTAGCAATGAAGATAAGGGGCAGTTGATGGTTGAAGGATTTTCCGTGGAAACCTACAGTTTTTTTTTCCAACTTCCTGACAAAGAGTGCGCGCTGTGTTGTGTGACTTCATTTCTCTCCAACTGCTCGGAAACAATCGTGTCTTTTGTGTTTCCTCTACTTTTAACACTGTATTATGATTGAATGTTCCGAGTCGGTGGGTCGTGTCGACTTATGTGACTGTCCTATCCGATGAGAGGCCGCGGTAGTCGCAACAGGTTGCGAGTCGAACAGCATACAAACAAACGGCAGCATGTGTGCGTGTGTGTTGGTGCACTAGCTGGATGAAGGGGGCGGGGAGAACGTGTGGCAGTGGTAGGGGGGAAAACCTAGCGAAACGGGGCGGTGACCCTTGAACTTTTTCCGCCCCACTTTCGCCCCGGCTTGTGTATTGTTGTCTTGGTAACGGCTGCGCCTGGCGTTTTGATTGGTGGTTGGGCGTCCCGCCTCTCCCCCCCCCCCCCTTCCCATCGCTGCCCCGTTTGCTTGGGAGCCGAGGGTGTGTGTATGTTGTATGCTTCTATCCCCCGTCTTGGGAGCTCTCCCACAGCCACGTAGGCAAAGAGCGGATACAAGCAGTGTGGGTTTTTGCTAACTCTTCCGTATTCGGGACTACTTTGACAATAACTATTGTGCTTCACCGCGGTTAAGATGACACGGGTTTTAGAGAGGTCGAGACGACAGTTGCTGACAAAAGTGTCTGCTGTTCCTTCACGGTTCGTCTTGAATTGTTCCTTATATCTCCGCTGTTGGTCAAAACTGACCTATCGCTATCACTCACTTTTCTTAGTCTAATACAATTCCTATTTATCTCAGTCGTTTTCAGTTTTGAATATAAACGGATGTCGTATACGATTTCTTACAGTATATTTATTTAGAAGATCTATATCCAATGCAAGTTTATTACATTTTTCAATAGTCTTTCTTCTTCTTGAAACCGTTGTTGTTTGTACAGTCCCAATTTGTTCCTGCTGTAGGGAAATCCCGGTTTTCTCTGTGTTCACTGTGGACTCAGACGTTCTCAAGGCTCGTTGAATGCCTATAGTTTACAACTAGATATCTAGCTTTACCTGCCTATTATTAACCGTAACCGACATTGCTTTTAGAAGTGAAGTGCGCCCGCACTCACACACACACACACACACACACACACACACACACACATACACATTCTTACACATACACAAACACAAACACACCAAAAACAAACAAGCAAACAAACCCAGACACACGCCGCGGTTCTGATAAGCGACACAGGAAGCTTTAGGCCGTTTGGAGTAGACTTTTAGATCCATGTGTATTGGTCTTGTTGTCTTTTCGAATTTTCCTTCGCGAGTCTTCTGTGAGCCTTTGGTTTCTTTTCATTTGTTTTTTCCCTTGTCTACCCCCCCCCCCCACTGCTACCCATCTCTGTCTGTCACTATCAGATTATGTCACTCACCCCGTCTTTCTCCTCTCAAGCCTCCCCCCCCAACATTCTTCTCTCCTGTCTGTTTCCCTCTTTTCTTCTAAGTTTGACAGACAGACAGAAGCTATTTCCTACTATCAACATATTTGCTACCAATATGTCAATGTCATAAGGCATTTTCCCTGTCAGTTTATCACCGCCTCTCTTTACAGGCCAATAAAAGGAGGGTTTAAGTAGCTCGCCGTAGAGGTCACTGTTTAATCACAGGCGAAAAACATACTAATCTATGCAGCGTTAAAAATGTGATGGTGGTAGGAAGGTGTCTTTATTAATCTTACTTCTTTTCTTTCCTTCTGTTTGTCTGTCTGGCTTACTCTCTCGTTGCACTAATAACTGTTATTGTTTCCATGTGCTTCTCTTTATTCAAACAAGAGCCGTGATATTCAGCGTGTCAGATAATTTTCTGCCTAGCTAAGCCTCGGGTACCATAAACAATGATTTATGATGCGCGTCCGTTATATTTGTTTTGGTAGGCCTCAAAGGTCTTCCTCCTTTTGCTTATAGTTTCGTAAAATGTTGAAATGGCATGGTATAGAGAAACCCGCGAAACATGCATACACACTCTTGCACCCTGGGGTTTGGGGGCTTAGTGTATGTTGCTCCTTTACGTGTGACAGGTGATCGGATCTTTCCTGGTGGAATGAATGTGACCATTATGCAGCTGACTTACAATAATGTATATGACTACGCCAACAGAAATGTAGATACACATGTACACTCAGACTTTTTCCCAGTTTGTCAGGTCATCTTTTGTGTTTAGTCTTAGACTGGAAGCTTTTTGCTGTATACTTGTACGTGAGATTGAAGTTGGAAGCCCCCTATCACGTTTTTCCATCTCTTGTACTTAAGGGTGATTAGAAGGTTATGGTAGCTGTCCTATTTCGTTGCTTCATATCTCCAGTTCTCTGGCCTGTCATTTTATTTTCTCAGTCTCAACTAAATTATTTTAGATTGTCAGGCTTTTCTTGTCCTTAGTTCTACGGTGTGGTTGTCCTTCGTCTCTAGTGTGACTGTTGTCCTTATCTGGTTCCTATTGTGTCAGCTCTGTGTAAAAGCCAGCCCAACAACTGAGCTTTAACCCATTTGGGCATGTTGACGTCTCCACTTTGAGCATATGTCGCTTTCTCCGTGGCAGCTTAAGACTTGTTGATTGTTTAATTTGGTCCTGTCTTGAATCTGGCCTCCTTGGAGAGATTTCAAGGCTGTGTTCTTTACTGCTTTAGTATTTTCAGAGATGACTTTTATAACTTTTAATAAAGATATTCTGCCAGTCATATAATGATAGTTTCTTGAGGCATTGTACCCATGCCATACCATACCATACCGTCTGATGAATCCAATCATTTTCTGTTTTACTTTGCAGGCTGTGAGGACACAGTGCCTAGCATGGCGCCGGTGTGCAAGCTGCCCGAGGAGAGCGACGCCTCGATGCGCGCGCGCCTGTTCACCAGCCTGAGCCAGAGCTTTCCACACAGCCAGCTGTACAAGGCGCTGCACGGCGGCGGCGACATGATCCTCAACGGCGGTGACGGCGGCGGCCTCTCTGATGACGATGACGACAGCCTGTACGGGGACCACCTGTCCAACAGCTGCTTTGCCTCCTTGCGCATGGACCGCCGGGACAGTGATGACTTCGACGACGACCTTCGCTCTTTAGAATGGCTGCAGAGCGAGGATCTGCTCAAGAATATTGGAGGGGAAAAGTTGGACAAGGATGAAGACGGCGAAGAGCAGAAGGAGAATGAGGACGTGAAGCCGGATATTAACTTGCTTCAGGCGGGCCATGCTCCCGGCCAACAGCCCAATAACCTCCCCTACATGCCACAGAAACATGTGAACAGTAAGCCACCCTACTCCTTCTCATGCCTCATCTTCATGGCTGTGGAGAATTCACCCAAGAAGATGCTGCCTGTGAAAGACATTTACAATTGGATTCTGAAGCAGTTCCCATACTTCCAGAATGCACCCACGGGCTGGAAGAACTCAGTTCGGCACAACCTCAGCTTAAACAAATGTTTCAAGAAGGTGGAGAAAGACAAGGGGCAGGTGAGGCAAATCTGTCTGTTGAGAGTGAATGTTTGGAATTGGGTGGGTTTTTTTTGTTTGTTGTTGCTTTGTCGACATGTCAGTGCAAAAGCTGAATGCTATCTTGTACTAACTGTAATTTCTGACTTTTGGGAGGTTTTGTCACCGCTGTGAAGGCTGTTGTCAAATCTTCTTTTTAAGCCAAACATTATTACTGTTAAATTTAATGCCCGTGTTCTGTCATTTTGCTCTAACTCCCGGTCTTGGAACTGAAATTCTGTGCTTTCGAAGTGTTTACGACAAAACCCGAAGTATGGAGTTAGTGCATGATAGCTTCAAGCCCCCTGGTGGTCAGCTTTGCCTGTTTGTTAAAGTTCTTTTTTAAATTTTTAAAAAAAATTTGCAATCTTTTTATTTGTGGTTGTTGTCAATGGCACAGCTATTTGAGGAAATAGAATTGTGTAGAGTTGAGCAACATCTGTTTGAGATGTCAAGTAAGTCTTGCTGGCAAATGTCTCTATCACTCTTTGCCTTTGTTCCTTCTTTATTTCTCTCCTCTCTCCTTCTCTCTCTCTCTACTGTCGCGCTCTCACTCATCCAACTCGTCAATCATTTTCACGTAAAAATGATTTTTTAAAGTCTTGTCCATGTAGAGCGGTGTTTCTTTTTCTACCCTGTCCTCTTGTATCCCCTTTCTCGATGCTTCCTTTCACCTGCTTTCCTTCCTTCCTTCTGCCTTTCTCTTCTTTTCCATTTCATGTGAATTTGAAGAAGTGTTGTATTCCATCAAGAAAAAACTGTATTTTGAGCCTGGCGGGGTCAATGTGTCTGCAGCATGTGGATGGAAGAAATAGATCTCTCTCTCT